GATGAAGGTGGCAATTTTAAGAAAAGTAACTACTTCATGCCTTTCTCAGCAGGTAATATAAATGTATTTCCAATGTGTTTCAGGGTATAAGACAACTTTTTTGATCAGCTGGAACTTACATGTACCTCCTCTGCAGTGGTACAATTATTCTTTGTACATGATCAAGAGCACTGTTCTGAATGTCTGTGTGCTCCCTGCTCATGATACATCCTAATTATTGGGCCAGATTAGTGGGCTTTGGGGAGTTAATCCAATTCTTCCAAATTGAGAAAGCTGAAGTATATGTTGGTTGAATTCTGCCTCTAGATACACCACTGAGGTACCCAAGAACTCCTCCAAGAAGATAAAACTAATTACATTTTCCTCCCTAGCCATGAGGAATTTCACTCCAGAACTTCACTGAGTGTTTTCCACATGGTGTCCCTCACCCCCTAGGCTGGGCTTGTAGGATAAAATTATCCTCAAATACTGAAGAGGGTTTTAAAAGGCTCACTTCTGAGTTTGGAAAGCACAGCAAACAGATCATTTTAATTCGATAGGACTGAGGCTGTGATACAGGAAAGGATAAGCTGTTGGGAGTTGGGAGGTAGATGGAGAAGCTGTCTGCTTCTTGTTCTCTTATACCCCAAAGTGAGGCATAAGTAACATTTTAATTGCAATAAAGACATTTGAGTTACCTCAAAGGAGGCAGAGAGGATGAAAAGAAGAGAACGCAGGGCTATTAAAGGAGATAATGAGCCACAGGAGCAGGACATTGGCTCTAAATAAAGGATATTAGAACCTTTGCCAAATAACCATGGATGGGATGAGGGGGACAGTGGGAATGTAGCAGGATACTCTGCAGTGATGCAGAGCACCACGCTTTTCCCCTAGTCATGGCCATGTATCTTGGATGTTGGATCTCCACACCCGAAATGTGTGTGCTGAGCGTCTGGTGATAGAATCTCCTTCCTTTATTCTGTGACCTTTGATGTCTGCTTTATATCTGGCACTGTAGATACCAAGACAACAATAAAAGAAACCTTCCTTCAAGCATTCACCTTTAGCACATGTATTAGTCCATTCTTACATTGCTATAAAGAACTACCTGAGACTGGGTAATTTATGAAGAAAAGAGGTTTAATTCACTCACAGTGCCACAGGCTGTACAGGAAGCATGGCTGGGAGACCTCAGGAAACTTGCAATCATGATGGGAGGCAGAGCAGAAGCAAGCACATCTTTCCATGGCAGAGCAGGAGAGAGAGAGCAAAGAAGAAAGGCTACATGCCTTTAAAAAACCAGATCTCATGAGAACTCACTCATTATCATGAGAACAGCAAGGGGGAAATTATCCCCCATGATTCTATCACCTCTCACCAGGTATCTGCCCCAACATTGGGAATTACAATTTGACATGAGATTTGGGTAAGGACACAGAGCCTAACCATATCACACATAAGTAAATAAATAAATAAATAAATAAATAAATAAATAAATAAGTGATTATTATTCTAGATGACCCATGCTGTCTGCTTTTTCTGCCATAACAAAATATCCAAGACTAGGTAATTGATAAATAATGGAAATTTATTTCTCACAGCTCTGAAGGCTGGGAGTTCCAAAATCGAGGTGTCAGCAAGTTCAGTGCCTGGTGAGGGCCTGTTCCTTATAGATAATGCCCCCTCTGTATCCTTATATGGCAGAAGGGCAAAAAAGGCAAAAGGGAGAAATGGCTCCCTTGTATCTCTTGATGTTATTATTTTAGCAAGGACAGAGCCCTCCAGACTTATTCACTTCCTACAAGGCCTCATCTCTTTAGTAATATTGCATTGGGGATTATGTTTCAACATACAAAATTGGGAGAAGCCATATACAGATCATAGCACATTTTTCAATGGAAGCATAAATATAATGTTGAGGAAATCCAGAGAAAGCAACGTTTTCTTGCTCAAGGAGATGAGAAAGAGGGTACAAAAGGAGATAAAATTTGACCTATGTCCTGACTGTAGTAATAGAAAAGTTCATCTTGGCCAAAAGGAGCAGCGTGATATAAAACTTGAAACCTCATAGTGTGCTAGAGGCTGATGACGAGTGGCTATGCCTAGAGTTGAGAGTAGGGAATGTGAAGAGTGTAAGGAGTGATATGAATCATCAGACTGGAAACAGAATGTGAGGGTCCAGGTCAATCCATTGGGACTTTATTCT